ATACAACACGAGATTAGCTCGCACTCTCGTGGACACTCCAGCAAAGGTCGCTTCCATGTAACTGTTATATGAGGGTCATGACCTTTAGACAATGGTACACGAGAGGTCACGTGATAATGACAATCAGTCCCCTAATGCATCCCTTGTATAGCTAGATCCTCCATTAACTGGTGTGACTAGTTTTCACTCTGGAATGTGGGAATTTTGTTGTTTGAACCTCCTAAAGAGAACTGAATTAGATTGGGATTGTTATAGTTTAGATGAAACAACATTCATTGATGCGTTTATTCAAGCTACATCTTGAATAAAGCTAACCGTAAAGGTCAAAATGTTGTTGAAGGTTAACCCAAACGTCAAAGATCTGAACAATTAAATAATATAACTTTTATTTTATACCTGTCTTTCATGTCCAGTGTGCATAGTGTTTGCCGTGTTAAACATGCTGTTGTTGTCTTTGGCAACCAACCAAAATCGTCCTTCAAACATGATTTTTTTTTTTTTTTGCTTTAAGCTACGACAAATTTTGTCTGGTTCATATGCCAGGTTAATTTTTTTTTTCATGTCTGAAATTTTTTACACGAGTAAAACGTTTGGATGGTCGAAATATTTGATGCAATCCAACCACAAAATTGATAGTTGTGTCGTTCGAAGCTAATTTTGTTTGGGGGGGGGGGTGGGAGGGGGGAAGGGGGATTGTGGGATGAGTCACGTTTAGCTCTTGTATTTCACTAAAAGGTAACCAGATTTACTGCACGTCTGTCACAATTTGAATAGGACAGCAGTAACATTTTACAGTTGAGCGTCTTATGTTATAAAGTAAAAATCTCCAAACAACAGTACACCTGAGTTCAGCTTGAAATGTACTAAAGCCGTGAACACAAATATTAAGACCGGAACATTTGTAGTCAAAGGGAAGCCACTCGGCTATCTATGATCAGCGGAGATTTATTTGAGTGGTTTCCCCTGACAATTTATGCACTGTCTAGATACTATCACAGAGGAAACAAGAGTTTCCGTTGCCTCAAGACCTGGCTAGTCCCTGTGATTAGAAACAAACGTTGTATTGATCGAGATGTGGTATGTCTTCGTTCAGTCGCGGAAGTATTTCGGGAAAGTTCTAGAGGAAGATTGGTAGGGCGGATATTGCCTTAAGCGTACACCTGAAAAATTGTGATAGGTGCGTTCCAGACGAATCGCAGAACAAACTGAAGAAAACATTTTGTTTAAACCCAATCAAGTGACATGATGTTGTGATCGATTCGCCTTCATTAGTGTACCGATCATAATCGATTAGATTAGTGAACTCAGATTTTTAACAGAATATTTTTGCAGTCAGTTGTTATTTTAATACAGGAGGTTGTTGAATATGAACCAGAGGTGTCTTTTATTTTTATTTATTTTCCGTTAGTCAATCGGGCAAAAATGACGAAAGCCAACTAAAGATACTACCTACCTAATATTTGTCTGGGGTCTGTTTATAAGCAGGCCGTAAAATTGTTGAGCTTATATATCCTCAAAATAAAAAATAAAAAAAACTGGGGGGATATGTAACAAGAAGTCAACTCTATGGAGAGTATATAAGGCAGTCATAAAATATACACTGGCAGTACTTATAATGCTATAAAGTGCATAAAGTAAACCGCAGTCAAGTACGATTAGTTTATAGGCCCTACCTACTACTCAATAAATCAAAGATTGTTGCAAAAACTTGGAGCCCCAGTCACTCTATTTGTTCAGACAGTCCTTGTATTGTAGGTCCCATACTTGTTTGGAAAAATGCGAACCATTAAACAACTTTTTAGTACAGCCCTTGTAATGCAGGTCCCATACTAAGTTGGAAAAATGCGAACCATTAATAACTTCCTAGTAAAAAATGCGAACCATTAATAACTTCCTAGTAAAACCACTTTTGTTTTTGTAAAAATATATGGTAGATTGTAGAAATATATAGTAGATCACGCCATTTAATACAATTTGTATTCCACAGGTAACCCACCATATGTGAGTGTCTCAAGAATTAACACGTAGAAATGAGATTATTTATATGAGGGTGTTGTGTATTGAAGGCACTACCGTATCCCTGACCAAGAAACCAATGGACTACAACAGAGAAACAAGCTAGTCACTGGATCTACACGAGCAGGAATGTCACCCTTAGCACAGTATACACTGCTGTAGATTGTAGGTTCAAATCTCTTGTAACTTACTGAACAATTTATCCCCCGGCCACCCCATTCCATCGCCATGACAACCACCTGTATCGGGAAGTTCTGGGCTGTGACGTCATTCCTAGCCTCCGCCGCCATCGCTGTCGGTTATTATTTCCCTTACTGGCTGCAAGGGAACTTCGTCACGTTCGACGGGGCGGAATTCCCGATGTACTTCGGGATTTTCCGTCGCTGCACCTACCCCCAACTGCAGGCCGATGGCACCGTGGGGGTGGTGGAGGAGTGCGGGAGGTACTCGACGTTCAATGACATTCCCTCCATCTTCTGGCAGGTAAAGCTATTCACTAAGACAGGGTAAACAACTAATGACACGCGACTAATTACGGTACCTATTTTATCATTGATATTATCATTGACTAAACCAGCCTCGTGACCCGTCGCACTAAACGAGGAATGATTGATGATTGTGTCGTGTTCGTTCACAGATTGGCACTGTGACTGTTGGCACTGGCGCGTGTCTGTCACTGCTGCTGTCACTGACAGCACTGGTCTCCCTCTGTGTGCGTGACATCATCACGGTGAGGCTGGCCAGGTTAACTGGCGTCATGCAACTGTGTGCAGGTAGGTTCATGTGACGTCATACAGGTGTGTGCAGGTAGGTTCATGTGACGTCATGCAGGTGTGTGCAGGTAGGTTAATGTGACATAATACAGGTATGTGCAGGTAGGTTAATGTGACGTCATACATGTGAAATATAACAGTAAAACAAGGAGCAATATAACAGTACAACAAGCAGCAATATAACAGTATAACATGGTGCAATATAACAGTATAACAAGCAGCAATATAACAGTATAACAAGCAGCAATATAACAGTATAACAAGCAGCAATATAACAGTATAACATGGTGCAATATAACAGTAAAACTGCGTGCAATATAACAGTATAACAAGGTGCAATATAACAGTATAACAAGGTGCAATATAACAGTATAACATGGTGCAATATAACAGTATAACAAGCAGCAATATAACAGTATAACAAGCAGCAATATAACAGTATAACAAGCAGCAATATAACAGTATAACTTGGTGCAATATAACAGTATAACACGGTGCAATATAACAGTATAACAATGAGCCCAAACGTCTATGTTTGCCAACAGCTCCGACACTGCAAGCTGTTCTTGACGTCCCAACTTTCTACTCAGCCAACATAACGTCATCCACAGCTGAAATAGACTTGTCTGAACCATAAATAAATCTGACACGTAGTTGTTGTTGTTTAACAGCTAGATAGTGATCAGTGTTGAGCTAGACATACACCGTTGTAGCTTTCAGTACTCACCTCTAATCTAATCCGCTACGGGGGAGGGGGGGGGGGGTAGTCTGACGTTAGCAAACGCCGCTATAGGGGCGGTTAGACAAAAGTGAGGCGGGTGGTGGGGCGGTTAGAGCCAGATGATCCCATTCATCTGGTTCCCATTCCCCATAAGCCATGTGGTCTAACAGAACAGGGCTGACGTTTGGCATGGACTAGGTGGCATCGAGCCAGTTGTACAATGGTTTTGCACTTCTCTCCCTTGCTAATTGTTTACATTTGTCGTGAAAGGGGAGATAACATGTCTATTTACCAAACTGCTGGGGTGTTTATTTATACAAAGTTCAATCTGTCTTCAAATAGACCCAAGATCAAACAAAAACGAAAATTAAAAAAAAAAATTCTGCTAATGGTTTTGAGTTTTTGATTTTTGTAGTTCTAACGAGAGAATTAAAAAAAATAGTATAATTGTTGGATGGAGCCTTTACCAGAGATATCCTTTTTGATGTATTTGACAAAAAACCCGTATCTTGGTAATTTAATGAATAATCGATGACTCTTCTGTGATTGGTTAAGGTTAAACCCCTCGGTAATCCCAATTTTTTTTTTACAGCTCTACTTAAAAACCTAAATTCCACCCCCCCCCCCCCCTTTCTCCTCAGCCCACCACGCACGCCGAGAAAAAAAAATCCCTTGAATCATTATTTAATTACACATTTGCATTTTCAGATTGGTTTTTAATTTTTATTTTTTATTTATATTTAGACGTTTTGTATTAGATCTATGTATAAGTAAACCATCTTAAATGAATGAAAGTATGCTACAAGTGATAAAGAAATATTACTATTGTAAATCTGTATCAGTCCTCACAAGCCGATGATGAAAACTGTAGTACTAAAGGGAACACACAACTGACGCTATAAATTACGTGTCTGAGGCAAAAAAAAAAAAAAAAAAAAAAAAAAAAAAGTTAAACCGTGTCATAAATGGGTCCATGATCGTGTCATTAATGGGGTCCATAATCTTGTCGTTAATGGGGTCCATAATCTTGTCATTAATGGGTCCATGATCGTGTCATTAATGGGGTCTATGATCGTGTCATTAATGGGTCCATGATCGTGTCATTAATGGGGTCCATGATCGTGTCATTAATGGGGTCCATGATCGTGTCATTAATGGGTCCATGATCGTGTCATTAATGGGTCCATGATCGTGTCATTAATGGGGTCCATGATCGTGTCATTAATGGGGTCCATGATCGTGTCATTAATGGGGTCCATGATCGTGTCATTAATGGGGTCCATGATCCCTTTTATTAGGATCACGACCATCTTTATGACCTCACTCCACCTGCCTATAGTGCCCTATACGTGTGTCAGTTAGACTTTTTCAATTAACTAACGAGTTATGAATAGTTGCGCAAGGTACACGAAACGCCTATACAAGTTGGATATGTATGAGCTTGGTAAACCATGCTGGTGTTTGAATAAAGCTGAACCTAATTGGTCTGAGCTCAGTCTTTTCTTGAGCTTAGAGCTACACACAATTTTAATTGAAGCGTGACAATAGAATTTAACGGACTATTTTCTTTTGGCAATCAACCACATCATCCAATAAAATATGTTAACTTTAACCACAGCACCTAATAAAATATGTTAACTTTAACCACAGCATCCAATAAAATATGTTAACTATAACCACAGCATCCAATAAAATATGTTAACTATAACCACAGCAATCAATAAAATATGTTAACTATAACCACATCATCCAATAAAATATGTTAACTTTAACCACAGCATCCAATAAAATATGTTAACTATAACCACTACATCCAATAAAATATGTTAACTATAACCTCAGCATCCAATAAAATATGTTAACTATAACCTCAGCATCCAATAAAATATGTTAACTATAACCACAGCACCCAATAAAATATGTTAACTATAACCACAGCACCCAATAAAATATGTTAACTATAACCACTGCATCCAATAAAATAATATGTTAACTATAACCACAGCATCCAATAAAATATGTTAACTATAACCAAAGCACCCAATAAAATATGTTAACTATAACCTCAGCACCTAATAAAATATGTTAACTATAACCACAGCACCCAATAAAATATGTTAACTATAACCACAGCACCCAATAAAATATGTTAACTATAACCACTGCATCCAATAAAATAATATGTTAACTATAACCACAGCATCCAATAAAATATGTTAACTATAACCAAAGACTCAATAAAATATGTTAACTATAACCACAGCATCCAATAAAATATGTTAACTATAACCACAGCATCCAATAAAATAATATGTTAACTATAACCACAGCATCCAATAAAATATGTTAACTATAACCACTACATCCAATAAAATATGTTAACTATAACCACAGCATCCAATAAAATATGTTAACTATAACCACTACATCCAATAAAATATGTTAACTATAACCACTACATCCAATAAAATATGTTAACTATAACCACAACATCCAATAAAATATATTAACTATAACCTCAGCATCCAATGAAATATGTTAACTATAACCACTACATCCAATAAAATATGTTAACTATAACCACAGCATCCAATAAAATATGTTAACTATAACCACTACACCCAATAAAATATGTTAACTATAACCTCAGCATCCAATAAAATATGTTAACTATAACCACTACATCCAATAAAATATGTTAACTATAACCTCAGCATCCAATAAAATATGTTAACTATAACCACTGCATCCAATAAAATATGTTAACTATAACCACAGCATCCAATAAAATATGTTAACTATAACCACACCACCCAATAAAATATGTTAACTATAACCACACCACCCAATAAAAAAATTGTTAACTATAACCTCAGCACCAAATAAAATATCATTATATAAAGGCTTGTAAAACAATATTACACAATTTAATCAGTGTTAAAATATGTTTATAAAATTGTTTTAAATTGATACGCTGACATATTTGTGTTTGATGTTTTTTCTGCAGGTTTGCTTGTGGGTGGGGGTGTGGCCGTCTACCCCTACGGGTGGGACACGTCCCAGGTGCGACAAGTGTGTGGAGAGGACTCGGACATTTATAAGCTGGGTAACATCTGTTTATACACTGGGGTATTGGGTTAGGTAGTTGGTCGAAAGGTCGGACATTTATAAGCTGGGTAACATTTGTTTATACACTGGGTATTTGGGTAGTTGGTCGAACGGTCGGACATTTATAAACTGGGTAACATCTGTTTATACACTCAGGTGTTTGGGTAGTTGGTCGAACGGTCGGACATTTATAAGCTGGGTAACATCTGTTTATACACTCAGGTGTTTGGGTAGTTGGTCGAACGGTCGGACATTTATAAGCTGGGTAACATCTGTTTATACACTCAGGTGTTTGGGTAGTTGGTCGAACGGTCGGACATTTATAAGCTGGGTAACATCTGTTTATACACTCAGGTGTTGGGTTAGGTAGTTGGTCGAACGGTCGGACATTTATAAACTGGGTAACATCTGTTTATACACTGGGGTGTTTGGTTAGGTGGTCGAACGGTCGGACATTTATAAGCTGGGTAACATCTGTTTATACACTGGGGTGTTGGGTTAGGTGGTCGAACGGTCGGACATTTGTAAGCTGGGTAACATCTGCTTATACACTCGGGTATATTGGTTAGGTAGTTGGTCTAACGGTCGGACATTTATAAGATGGGTAACATCTGTTTATACACTCTGGTGTTTGGGTAGTTGGTCGAACGGTCGGACATTTATAAGCTGGGTAACATCTGTTTATAAACTCGGGTGTTGGGTTGGGTAGTTGGTCGGACGGTCGGACATTTATAAGCTGGGTAACGTCTTTATTACATACCTTAATATTTTCGTACTTCTGGCTGGCTAATTCGATGTGCGAACGTATTGTGTAAAAAGGTGGCCAGGTACTGTGTGTAAAGCTTGGCCAAATTGTGTAGGTCTTACAATGTGATACTGGCCTAGAGCACTCGTAAAAATACGCCCTATCGTATTACGTTTTGTTTATTATTCGAAGTCTTCAAAGCTTCAAATAACCCTGCAACTATTTGATTCATTATTTGAAATGAAATTTAAAAAAAAAATATTAGTATGCGTTAAATTACACAAAGAATAAAGCAAACATTACGTTTCCTTAGTATTATTCAAGTTTTCTCGGAAAGCAAAATTTACAAAAACAGGTTTTTGAATCACTTCAACGATAATTTAATTAAGAAATATTTTAAACTATGAAAAATACAGAATTGAAAGTATGTTTTCCTCGAAATTTAAACATGATCGATTAAGTGTTCGATAAATCTGTCATATTTTAACCCTCATTGTTTTTTTTCATATTCAGGTAACTGTTCTTTCTACTGGGCCTTTTACCTGACGGCCGTGGGGGGAGGGCTGACCATCCTCTGCTCCACCCTGGCATGCCACGCCTACAAACACAAGATGGGGACACGGGCCATCTATGACGTCTGAATGGGCACGGGCCATCTATGACGTCTGAATGGGCACGGGCCATCTATGACGTCTGAATGGAGGAGATCAAACAATTATTAACGGCTAGACACTAGTCAGGCGCCAGGGGATTTACACGGTCTATATACAAGTTTTAGGATCCCGACAAATACATGATGTCTAATTACAAGTTAGGATCCCGACAAATACATGATGTCTAAATACAAGTTAGGATCCCGACAAATACATGATGTCTAAATACAAGTTAGGATCCCGACAAATACATGATGTCTAAATAAAGTTAGGATCCCGACAAATACATGATGTCTAAATACATGTTGGGATCCCGACAAATACATGATGTCTAAATACAAGTTAGGATCCCGACAAATACATGACGTCTAAGTAAAGGATCCCAAAGAATGTGTTGTCTTCACTCACATTAGGACCCGACAGCCTGTATGACATCTTACTTCAGGTTCACTTACCTGGCAAATTGCGCTATTTATAGTACCTGCGATTCTAGCTTGACCAGTCCGGCACTAATGGCCAACAAATCGTCGACACAAATACTGTTAGCAGATTGATATTATCTATTGTATTGATTGTTTAGATTGTGATTTTGATTTGTGTGGATTAAGTGCAATGAAAAACTTATAACGAAATCTCAACAATTTTGAAAAAAAAAGTTTAATGCAAAACGATTTAAGCTTCTTTTGAAATCAACAGGGGTAGATTGATTGACGACTACAACAGATAATTTATTTAGTTTTGGTATCAAATTTTTGAAAAGTCAGTGTCTGTTAAAAGAATTAATTTTTTTTTAAAAAGTAAATATATTTGAATTAGCAGTGAAAATAAATGATGATTGAAATGTAGCGATGGTCGCAGTAAAATGTAAGAAATGTGGTGTGCCTGACTCACGTTAGGAAAATTAAAGGCGACTGGGGTTTGTACTGATGATATGCCAAAAACAATTTAAACAGGTCAACTCTAGTTCACCTGCACCGTGGTGTAGGATCCACGTAACAAAAGGCTTATCGTTAACCGCATGGTCAAATTAGAATTAAATTTCCCTTTTCAAATGATGTGATATTGTTGAACTAATAGAAAGGATAAAATAATTATATTTTTGAATTATTTATAAAGCTTGTCACTCGTAACAAAGTCGTACGCCAAATTAATAAAACTATTTATAAACAAATACCGCCGAGCGGAAATAGATTATCAATGTATATGAAAATGTATTCGCTTTGTACATATATATGTATATGTATTGAATATGAAATTGTATACGTTAATCTACAAACTAAATGGCAAGTTATACATTGTTTTCTACATTAATTGTCGTACAGTGCTGTTAAATTACATTTTATGTTTGGTGTCTTGTAAATAAAGCGCGTGTTGACAATTTAAAACGAGTAAGATTTGATGTTAAATTTATTTAGCACTGAGGCGATGGTCAGTAGTCATTGATGACTAGTGCTAACGTTTCTCAACACAATATTGACATCAGCTCTACATTTTTTTGTAAACATTCCAGCTAAAGCACGTGAAGTTGACACATCCAGATCTGCGTGAGTAGCGCACGTGCTTATTTCTCATCATGTTTACTACGTCAGGTGTGCCACACAATAACCAGCTAAACACATACTCACTACACACAAGCCATATTTGTACACACTACACACAAGCCATATATGCACATATTACAAGTAAACAATCTAAACATACATTGTCAAACAAGTGCATTACATATGTCAAACATCTGGTAAAACAAAATCTCCGTCTCCATGGCAACAGCTGAGGACAGCAATAGTTTAAACAGGTTACACATCGTCAGATCTCCCCAGCATTAAAACGTATGTATTCGTCAGCGACCCCCCACCCCCACCACCAGCATTAAAACATGTGTATTTGTCAGACCTCCCCAACATTTAAAACGTTTGTATTTTTCAACAACCCCCCCCACCCCAGCATTGAAACGTGTGTATTTGTTATACCCCAACCCCCTCTCCGCATTTAAACGTATGTGTTTATTAGACCCCCCCCCCCCCCCAGCATTTAAACGTGTATATTTGTCGGCGATTATAAATCATGAATCAATAAAACAAGCGGTGCTTGTGTGTGTGTGTGTGTGTGTGTGTGTGTCTGTGTCTGGAGCCAAAGATCGATAGATCGATACACCTTTAACATATCACCCCTGCCAGCGACAGCACACACAACAGGAAACAGGGAAGTCACAGACAGGTAACCACCGTTCTATCATCATGTTGGGTGATTTATTTAGCCTAACACTTATATTTAGACGTGTTTCTTCACATAACTTACACTATAACAGTGAGTTTATCCATTGGTTTGGTATATTTAAACGGTACTATTATAAATGCAATTTCTTTATAAGTAGTATAACGGTTATATTTAGACATTTGGATATACACATTAGTAGAGTCTTATCTAAAGATTGTAGACCGCAGATTCACCAGATGTTTGACGAATAATTATTAGGCCTTACCCACGCGAAGTTTGTTGTGTGTTGATCTTGATTGAGGCTAAAAATAGAAAACGCTAGACGATTCCACATCCGGGTGGTATTGTGTAATGGATATTGATTGATGGATAGTTGCCCTTTAAAATCATAGGTAGCCGGATAATGGTAAGCGATTGTTTTTTTAAACAGCTTACGTCTTGAATCCATTTAAATATTCAGCCAAATCGCATAGAATAAAAAAACCAGTACTCATAACATGGTACTGTTTTCTTGTAACAGATCAGGAAGTATTATTGATTTCTTTGAATGCTGTTTAAATAATGAACGCGGTTCCATTTCGCTTTTTTTTGTGTGCAATTTATTATCTAATTAGAATCAACCTTCTCTCCTGGTAAAACTTGAAATTATTGAAAGAGTTATTTTTATCTTACGGTTCAGCAATAAAAATCGTTAAGTAGGCCTATTTCTGTAACCACGCAGGCGATATTTACAAAAACAGCACATAACGAACCAGAAAAGGATATTGTAAATACGATTGCGATTAAGCAGGATAGATACAGGGCAGGGTAAGAAGTAAAATTTAGTAAAGAAATAAAGCGTACAAAGTATCCTGATATAGCGATACATAGATGTTTACGTCATGCAGCTATTTATATGTATGATATATTAACCTGTTAGCATTTAAATCTACCATTTTAAGATTGCTTTTGTAATCCGTTTTAGCATGTTTCTGATCTAAAAATTACCTCAAACTACCGATATTTGTTTTTTTAAAAGTGAATGCTTAATTAATTGAAGGTGTGAGCTTATCAAATAATTGTAAAATTAAGTATGTATATGCACACATTTGCTAGTAAAATAAATAGAGAATAGTATTTAATTATTTACACACTTTTTTTCAGAATGAAAAAACGGCTTTACAATGGTCGAGTTTCCAAAACTCAAAATACAAAAGTGTCAAGAAAATACTATATAATTTTGATTAATTAACATTAAATTATGGATATATCGCAAACGCAAGCAAGGAACAACTCACTTTTGGAGAAGATGCTAAAGAACTATTTACTTTTGTGATAGATCTAGATTCAAACTTCCAGTTCTAGAAATTACACATTATGATTTTTTTTCTTATGATGGGCACCAAAGTGAAAAAAATGCAATCATTCTTATAAATAATACACTGTGACTCAATATAAACTGTATAATTAGAACGTAACGTTAATACAACTTATAACAACTTTTGACAGTTATTGAGAATAACCCAGACAAAGTTATCGATCGTTGACAGTATAACCATGGTAAGTTGCTGCACATTTCTCAAGGTCAGACATATCGAAAGTAGAAAGGAACGGGAATTCGCTGTTCGGTTTTTTACGGTCGCCACCCTCCTGGGTTTCCTGGCCATCCACATCCTACTCCTCGTCACAACAATCGTGGTTCGAACCCAGCTGGGAATAACCTCCGCATGCCCGGATGTGCCAGAGAGCGTATACACGTCTGCGTATCTTCTGCTTGCCGTCTGCGGGCTGGTCTTCGTCTGTCTGATGGGAGCCATCCCCAGAGCTCTCCGCATCCGGCGCTCAAAGGAAGTCCGTGGGTTCACAGTCGTCGCGCTGGTCGTCATGACCAGCAAGTTCCTGGTGGCTATTCTGGCTGTGGTGCAGTCCACAACCTCGTCTGAAGATTTTATCAGCAAGGGAGATAACTTATCGAATAATAATTTGTGTATGAACGAGTTACAAAATACCTACAAATGTTGTGGTTTTCGTAATTTTACTGAGTGGACGTACAGAAATTTAAACACAACATTGACGTCCTTGTTTAATTTGGATGTTTTCTTAGAAAATATATTTCATGAAAGTAACAATTCAAATTGTCAACCATATAACGGTATAAAAACTCAAGTGAATATATTTCCAGAATCTTGTCAGTGTAAGGGACATAACTGCCGTCAAATTGTATACCCATCACAACTAACAGCGGACGCTAATCAAACGGTGTCGAGTGTAAATGAGAGTTCAGCTACTGGTACACACTGTGTCAGCATCTACCCCAGGCCGTGTAGTGACCATGTATCTCATCAGCTGAAGCAACTCTACCTCGCCACGGCTATCTCAGCAACTATCTCAGCGATCCTAGAGTTGGTTGTGTTTTTGTTTAGCGTGTGTCTGGTTCGACGTTTGGAGGGAAGTACGGCCATTGCTGACGTCTACAGGCAGGAAGGCGCCGCAGAGAGTAAAACTTAATGGTAGAAGAATTTTCTAGAATGGTACTAGTGACATTACAAATTCTTTAGTGGACCAAAAATAGCGGAGATCAGCACATGTTCCAAATACTTTTTTTGTCATTAAAAAAAATGGGACGACGTGGTTGGATGGTAGCGTGCACGATAACGAATCTGAAGTTTCCAGTTCGGTCACTGGCTCTAGTCAGTAGGATATACCTGGGTCCATTTAGCTACAAAGGGTACCTGATTCATTGTTGAGAAAGCAAACGCGGCTGGGCATAGTGCTGACTATATTATTATTCATATGCCGAGGTAACAGAAACAGGTGAACTCTACTTCATCTGCACGTAAAAATTGAAAAGGTGACTTAACAAAAAACAAAAATAATTTACACTAAAAAAATTACTCATGTAGGCCTATATCCAAAATGTAGACAAGACTTTAAAAATACTGTTTTTACTACTAATTAATTTATTTCTATATTATGAGTTCCATGCTCCAGTTTGAGTCAGTTCTACTATCTCAGGAAAGATAACTCTATAAATCTTAACTCAATACTATTTTATTTGTTACCTCCCGTGTACCTTTTTAATAAAAGCCTTAATATTGTTCATGGAAAATAAAACATTTAAATTTTGATTTACCTTTTTTAATTAATTAACTAATAATGATAAGAGCACATACAAAACTAAAACAAAAGTCTCCAGCAGAAAAGTTACAATTTCTATTTATAATCTGAAACAATTAACACTCAGAATTCAAATGTTTGTTTTTCGGTGTTTTTAAAACATAATAATATGGTGAAATTAGACTTTTAGAGAATGCTGGAAAGGCTCTCTCTGGGCGCTGACGCCTGGGAAAGCGTGTTTTTCGGTGGTGCCAATGCGTTTCTTAGAACCATAAAAGTAAACACCACTTGCCGTACATTTATTTGCATCGGGTGACACCATTTAGGGTGAAATTAGACTTTTAGAGAATGCTGGAAAGGCTCTCTCTGGGCGCTGACGCCTGGGAAAGCGTGTTTTTCGGTGGTGCCAATGCGTTTCTTAGAACCATAAAAGTAAACACCACTTGCCGTACATTTATTTGCATCGGGTGACACCATTTAGGGGGTGACACCAAGGCAAAAAATAGCAAAATACATAGAGAAAACTGATAAGTCCACTCAATCAAGTGTTAAAGTCTTTTAAGAGCAAATTTGACAAATCCCGACAAGGGGGGGGGGGGGGGTGCAAATCAAAAGTTTGAGGGGGGGGAGGTGCAAATCGAAAATTGAAAGTTTGTCCCCGGGCGCCGGGAAGGGTTGCTACGCCTCTGGGGGTGACACCATTAAGTGCCGCACCGGGTGACACCCGCCCTCGCTACGCCACTGGGATCTATTTATGTGACTTAAATTTTTAATGCTCTCTTTGAGCGCGGACGCATAGGAAAGCGTGTTGTTCGGTGGTGATTCTAATGTTGTGGTTGTGTTGTGGTTGTGTTGTGTTGTGGTTGTGTTGTGGTTGTGTTGTGGTTGTGTTGTGGTTGTGTTGTGTTGTGGTTGTGTTGTGGTTGTGTTGTGGTTGTGTTGTGGTTGGTTTGTGCTTGTATTGTGGTTGTGTTTTGTTTTGTTTGTGTTGTGTTTGTGTTTTTGTTTGTTTTGTTCTGTTCTCAAGTTGGTACATTTAAAAAAGATTTACCGTTGCGGAGCACGGGTATGCAGCTAGTCTATAATATAAGCGGGCTGGTAGTGTGTCAGTCATTCCGTCATCGCTATAGATTTTGGAAGTCTCTCCCTTGGCGCGGACGGCCGGGAAAACGAGTTGTTCGGCGGCGGTTTAAATTACGCCCTGGGTTCGGGGATGAGAGATGTCTGGGTGGGCGTTCGTGAGAGCGTCAGTTCTCAATTTTTTTACCGTAATTTAATATTCGTGAATATCCATATTCGCACCCCTGAAGACCCTGCAATAGTGCAATACCCACGTGCCAATTTTCATAGAAACCAGTTTCGATTAACGTCGACAGACAAAAGCACAACACAGAGTAAGCAAGTTAACTACAAGCTTACAAACTTGAATTACCAAACTATCACAAATGATGGAATGTTAAAAATAAATATGGCTTATCAAAGCCAACCACTCGATCTAGAAAATTCGAGCACACTGGTCACCAACATGAATGTATCGATCCCCAGCTTGTTAAATCTACTCCATGGTGCTCCTTTGAACTACTAAGAAAGTTAGCGGTTCAAAAGCCCAAGCCTTGTAAAAGGCAAGCGTCCAACTCCAGGACAGGTACAATTGTGTTAGAGCCATAAATGAACCGTCAACAACAATATGGAGTAAACACCACATCGATGTTGGACAACACACTTGGCCCTCTTTAGTTCATTACGGCTCGATGTATATGTGTATTTCATGGAAACGAGCGTCCAAGAAAGCATTATTCAATTTATCGTTATGTAGGTTAATAACTATCCTACTAGATCTATATAAAAGCTCATGTGCGCACTTCTCTCTCTCTCTCTCTCTCTCTCTCTCTCTCTCTCTCTGCGCAATATATTTCTAGAGGCTATGAGATCAGTATCTTCAGCGATATATGAAAATAAGAGATTGTATGCATTAAATGTATAAGCTAAAATATATTCTTTGTTTTTACTAGTAATTAATTTATTTCTATATTGTGAGTTCCATGCATCTGTTTCTAAAAGCTAAATGTTCATTTCAAGAGTTTTTAGCAGGTAGGCTAACACTGTATTGTATCGATATTTTGTACACAAACAGCGGCACATATTTGATCCATTCCGAGTCAGTATTACTTTCTCAGGAAAGATAACTCTATCAATCTTAACTCTATACTGTTTTATTTGTTATCTCCCTTGTACCGTTTAAAATAAAAGCTATAATTATTTATAATTGTTTAAGGAAAATTTTGATTTACCTGTTTTAATTAACTAATAATGATAACAGTACATACAAAACTAAAACAAAAGTCTCCAGCAGAAAAGTTACAATTTTTATTTATAATCTGAAACAATTAACACTCAGAATTCAAATGATGGTTGATTTTCTTATAGTTAGTTTCATACTAAGACTTGTATTAATAAACGAAGAAGTGCGGGAAGGCGAGGGAAACTCAATTATAACTTTAGTGCCTTTTCGCGAATGTCGAAACAAAAGACAAGAAAGCTTATATTTGGAGGGCTGGAGGGAGGGGGGGTTTAAATTTTTACATTTCTTCTTCTTGCTTACCTCGTGACATTGCTTAATTCTTTTAAAAACTTTACAAATAAAAAAGTTGCCAAAGAAATCTGACTCAAGTAGGAGTTAGTTCTTTTGATGACGTCTTAAAAGTCAACTAATGCTCGATTTAAAATTATTACGTCATGACTGGATGATCCTTTTTAGTTGCGGATTTTTTAAATATTCAGTTTTCAGCCAATAAAATTTTAACAAAAATAAATAGCAATCTTTTTCAATCTCTCAAATATTCTATGTACATGTATATTTACATCATGCATGAGGCGCTCACACATGTTCTAAAAGTTATTTAAGGTCGTGTGTGTGTGTGTGTCTGTAAGTGTGCGTGTGTATCTGTGTGTATGTGTATCTGTGTGTGTCTGTGTATCTGTGTGCGTGTGTCTGTGTGTGTAAGTGTGCGTGTGTATCTGTGTGTGTGTGTGTCTGTGTATCTGTGTGCGTGTGTGTGTCTGTGTGTAAGTGTGCGTGTGTATCTGTGTGAGTGTGTTTTTGTATCTGTGTTCGTGTGTGTGTCTGTGTGTGTAAGTGTGCGTGTGTATCTGTGTGCGTGTGTGTGTCTGTGTGTGTCTGTGTGTGTGTGTCCCTGAAACAAAACAAAAGTATGACATGAAAAGGCCATTTTGAAACAGGAGCATTAAAATACTATAAAACATTATCATATGTTATAAATTCAATAATTTTTTACATAGCATTTTTTATACAAAAATAGATTTTACTCATACATTTTTATACAGCGAAATAAAATATATAAATAATTTAAACATAATCACAATTAATATAACCTGTAAATGTGATGTGAAAGATATTTTATGATATATGTAACTGTAAGTAGGGACAGATCCAGATCGCTAAACTGAAGTACCTTGTATTTAGGGGTGGTTGTAAACTAAAGCACCTAACCTAACGTGATCACAAAGCCATGTATGGATTGGACAGTTGTAATGACCGGTTTGTACAGTTAAAAGATTGTGTTAACAGCCATCACATATGGTCAATTTTAATGCCATTTTAAGTTAAACACTTTATTTTTATATTTTTCATTTACTAAATACTGTATCATAAAATAAGTTTTAGAAAAATACAATTTTTGGAAATAATTTTATAAAAACAAAATGTGGATATTTTAACGAATCTATAAAGTAATAAAGAGACTTTCTTTAGCTGAAGATTACATGAAAGCACACGTTATATATATATATAATATATATATATAGAGTAGTATATATATATATATATATATATTATATATATATATATATATATATATATATATATATATATATATATATATAAATATATATATATATATATATATATATATATATATATATATATATATATAATATATATATAGTATATATATATATATATATATATATATATATATATATATATATATATATATATATATATATATATATATATATATATATATATATATATATATATATATATATATATATATATATATATATATATATATATATATATATATATATATATATATAATATATATATATATATATATATATATATATATATATATATATATATATATATATATATATATATATTATATATATATATATTATATATATATATATATACACTTTTCTATTAAATAAGTCATGGCTAAAAATTAAAAGACTTTATCAGTTTAAATTACAAGTAAGTTGTTTACGATGAACTTCAGATGAAATCACAGCCTGTTTTATAAAAACGGTGAAAGGAAAATACATAAAGGGCATCTTTCAAAAACTTAATGTACAATAAATATTTAAAATATTTCTGATTTATTTAAAATCATATTTACAATTTGCAGGATTAAACAGCTGATCAATTCAGCTGAAATGTTTCTACACAACTCTCTCAACTTTACCTCGAGCACACAATGATTGGAATGATGGTCGCTCATTCCATACACGATATGTTACCAGCTCATTCCATTCGATTGATGATATATTTACCAGTACATAGACCACAACTTGCCGACTATTCACACAGATCTACGTTACATAGACCACAACTTGCCGACGATTCACACATATCTACGTTAGTTTGTCTCCCAGAGAGATTTGTGCGAAGATTTTTGTGCAAGGATGAATCTGATATTGCAGTTAGCGGCGCAAGATTGCATGTTCTTGCATACCAAGGCGACCAGAGCCTAATTGCATGTTCTTGCTACCAAAGCCTGAAGAATCGATTCCAGTGCTCGTCTTGTCCAGTGTCTCAGTAGAGGGTCTGTGGTATACTTTAGTTGCATGAAAATTTGTCGTGAGGGGGGGGGGGTCTAGATTAGAAGTCTTGGAACAGCTTTGCCTCACTCTCAGGGGCGGGGGCGGCTTTCCTCCAATCACATTCCTCGTAGGTTTCAAAGTTTGTTGTGTCCCCGTCGTGGGAGAGCTCAGGAATGATTGGTGGCTGAGGGGAGAGAATAGGTCAAGTTAGGTCAGGAATGATTGGTGGCTGGGGGGATAGAATAGGTCAAGTTAGGTCAGGAATGATTGGTGGCTGGGGGGGGGGAGAGAATAGGTCAAGTTAGGTCAGGAATGATTGGTGGCTGGGGGGATAGAATAGGTCAAGTTAGGTCAGGAATGATTGGTGGATAGTGAGAGAGTATAGGTCAAGTTAGGTCAGGAATGATTGGTGGCTGGGGGGATAGAATAGGTCAAGTTAGGTCAGGAATGATTGGTGGTGGTGAGAGGAAAGTGATCAGTAATGATTGTTGGAATTTATAAACAAATTGTGCAAGTTAAAACAAGAACAATTATTGGATATCGTAAAATAAAAACCATCAAAGTGACTTCATTTGAAAATCAAATTAGCGTAATTAACCACATTTCGTTTATAATTTAAGTGTGTGATATTTATATTACAAACATTTCTATTCCAATATGTGAAAGTCGACATAAATGTTGGAGCATACATCGAATGCTCTTAAAAATTCAAAAAAGTTTTTGGACTGGTTTTTGTTCAAAGTTAACCAACGTTTATTTAATTCATGCGTATAATATCGTACTGAACGATGTTGCCTATTTCAATATGTAAACATTCAATCAGAAAACAAAAAGACGTTAACTAACAAGTAACAATGCATTTACTCTACAGCGTTAAAGGTAACAGTGAGTGTGAGGGCATACAAACAGTGGAAAACGTACAGGGAAAAACAGAGTTGCATACCTTTAATTTTTTAGCGTAAACAGCTTCCCAGTTCTGTCCCTTGAACCACTTGTGTTTCTTGATATCGTCCGCGCCGTTCTGTAGACAAACAAAGGATGCATCACATTACACAGATAAACTATTTCAGTCTCGGGAATTCCCGTTTATATTTTTTTAACACTCACTGGGCACGTGTCCAAAACAGAATAGAAAAAAAAATTAGCAGTAAAAAAAATTAATTGTTCGCTCTTTTGCACTTAAAGACAAAATGTTAAAACTTTGTGTAACAGGAACATCTTTAAAGACATGTGTTTAATTAGTTCGTGTGATGGGTTTATGTGCTTAATTAACATCTGTGAAATCTTACTCTCATGTTTCCTAGCCTTCTGGTTCGGTCTGGATTGAGCAGCTTTTTAATTAGATCTCTGGGGACAAAATGGCGGAGATTTTAATTAATTATTAATTATGTAATTAAGAATTGTTTTACATTAGGCTAATTAACTTTATCATTTCCATCCATCAAAACTCTCGACCCTGTCATCAACTGTATCATCATACACGTATGGAGTTAAATGTAGGACCTCATCCGATCTCTACACCACTCACACACCAAACCTAACCTAACCAAATCCCCACACCTAACCTACCCCACACGTTACCTTAACCTACACCACACCCCCACATCTAGCCTAACCACAAATGGTATTCCCACACCTTACCTCCCCACACCCTCACACCTTACCTTCCCAAAACTCCCACACCTAACCTAACCCCACACTAGATCACCATACATAACTTTCCCACACACCACATCGCCCACACCTAATCTAATCACAAACGGCATCCCCACACCACAATGCCCACACACCTAACCTAACAATACACCCCCGCACCTAATCTGCCCACAAAACCCCACACCTCCGCATGCCACCTTCCACTACCCAGCCCACCATTCAGACACTAGTCTCACATCTAAACATGAAACAATCCGCAACACCAGGTTGACTTACTTGGCTACCAGGTCAATGTTTTTCGGCCACTCTACTTTCCCTGCTACAATTTTTTCATAGATGTGGAATGGGTTGTCAGCATAGAAAGGGGGATAACTGTGGGATCCATGGCAACATAAGCTTATTACACATATTTACATACTACTCTATAAATAAATATTTGTATATTTAAATACACAGCCATAAATATATAATATATGTATATAAAAAAAGATATCATATATATATATATATATATATATATGTAAGTATATCTATCTATCTATCTATCTATCTATCTATCTATCTATCTATCTATCTATCTATCTATCTATCTATCTATCTATCTATCTATCTATCTATCTATCTATCTATCTATCTATCTATCTATCTATCTATCTATCTATCTATCTATCTATCTATCTATCTATCTATCTATCTATATATATATATATATATATATATATATATATATATATATATATATATATATATATATATATATATATATATACACGTACAGGTGTATAGATGATGTTGTGCGTGACTTACCCCACTAACATCTCAAAGATTAATATTCCCAGAGACCACCAGTCCACGGCCTTGTTGTGACCTTTACTGAGAATAATTTCCGGCGCCAGGTATTCAGGTGTGCCACATAGTGTCCAGGTCCTAGGGAGACAGAATGGGAAGGTGGAGTCTACGATAGCATAGGTCAGCGTTAGGTCATGAGGTGTAGGTCAGTTAGGTCATGAGGTGTATGTCAGTTAGGTCATGAGGTGTATGTCAGTTAGGTCATGAGGTGTAGGTCAGAGTTAGGTCATGAGGTGTAGGTCAGTTAGGTCATGAGGTGTAGGTCAGTTAGGTCATGAGGTGAGGTCAGTTAGGTCATGAGGTGTAGGTCAGTTAGGTCATGAGGTGAGGTCAGTTAGGTCATGAGGTGTAGGTCAGTTAGGTCATGAGGTGTATGTCAGTTAGGTCATGAGGTGTAGGTTAGTTAGGTCATAAGCTGTAGCTCTGAGTTAGGTCATGAGGTGTAGGTCAGTTAGGTCATGAGGTGTAGGTCAGAGCTAGGTCATGAGTTGTAGGTCAGTTAGGTCATGAGGTGTAGGTCAGAGCTAGGTCATGAGGTGTAGATCAGAGCTAGGTCATGAGGTGTAGATCAGAGCTAGGTCATGAGGTGTAGGTCAGTTAGGTCATGAGGTGTAGATCAGCTTTAGGTCATTAGGTGTCGATCAGTTAGGTCATGAGATGTTGGACAGTTAAGTCATGAGGTGTAGATCAGAGCTAGGTCATGAGTTGTAGGTCAGTTAGGTCATGAGGTGTAGGTCAGAGCTAGGTCATGAGGTGTAGATCAGAGCTAGGTCATGAGGTGTAGATCAGAGCCAGGTCATGAGGTGTAGATCAGAGCTAGGTCATGAGGTGTAGATCAGAGCTAGGTCATGAGGTGTAGGTCAGCGTTAGGTCATGAGTTGTAGGTCAATTAGGTCATGAGGTGTAGATCAGAGTTAAGTCATGATGTGTAGGCCAGACTTAAGTCATGAGCAGTATATCAGCGTTTAGTCTTGAGCAGAATATCAGAGTTAAGTCATGAGCAATATATCAGCGTTAAGTCATGAGCAGTATATCAACGTTAAGTCATGAGCAGTATATCAACGTTAAGTCATGAGCAGTATATCAGCGTTAAGTCACAGGTTGTAGCATAGATCAGCGCTAAGTCAGAGTTAGGTATAAACACATTAATCCATATCTCAGGTTTGATTTATTCGGTTCAAATCCATTGACGCCTTTTTTTTTACTAAGGCAAATGAGACATAGTTCAAGAAATCAATACATGAATAACGGAAATCGAGATTGAAAAATCAATATTTGAACGTATAATTTAAACGATCAATAGGCTTTGAAATTAAAACCAGTTGAAATTTTTTTGAGTACTATTTTTGTTTTGCCGTGTAATAAAGTTAACACACTGATAAAATGTTAACATTTTCAGCGTAGACTGGTTAAATGTAAAATATAGCCGCTAGAATCTTCAATTTGTTTTCTCTTTTACGTCATGAAATTTATAAATACTAGTTCATTAAACGATTATTTAAAAACGCTATGAACCATCCATCAGCAACTGACCCCGTTAACCATATATTAACACCTAGCCCTAATTAACCTCCAACCTAAAACCCACCCATATTAACCAACTGTGTATGAAGCAGTAACGAAACAGGAACCCACCCATGAAACTAAAAACCACCTACCATCCGTTATAGATCTATGAACCGCCAACACACAAACACCCACCCATCAAACAACAAACACAAACAGGAACCAACCCGATGGTCTAACCCTAAACATCCAAAACGTGGAAGGTAAGCGAAGGATTCACCAGGCTTTCCTGGCACACCAACATTTGATCAGTACCCCACATTTGTTAAAACGGCAAAAAAAAAAAACTACAAATAATTGGATATTGTCAAATCAACTAATAATCACAATATGTTGGAAACATCTGAAGCTGTCCTAAATAAAATCCTATGTTTTTAAAAAATCTACATTTCTAATCAGGTGTGAACATACTCCATCATCCCAAAAAACAACGACTGTGATGAGCTATGAGTTTTCAGGTAAGCAAAATAAAAGCTGCTTATTTCTTCAGTGGTTCGAAATCAAAATCAGAATTATTTTTTTCATGCCTTTAACAAAAATATCTAAACCAATCTGCCTACCTGTCCTCTACAATGTTAGCTAGAATCTGCCTATCTGTCGTGTACAACTTTTGCGAATGGCTGCACACCTGTCTTCTATAAAGTTAGTGATTCCGTTAGTGATGCCTACCTTTCTGCTACAACTTAAGAAAAAGTCTGCCTACCTGTCTGCTACATTAAGCGAAAGTCTGCCTACATGTATGTTACAACTTTAGAAAAGTCTGCCTACTGTATGCTACAACTTAAGCAAAAGTCTGCCTACATGTCTGCTACAACTTAAGAAAAAGTCTGCCTACCTGTCTTATACAACTTTAGAAAAAGTCTGCCTACATGTATGTTACAACTTAAGAAAAAGTCTGCCTACCTGTCCTCCACAATTTTAGCGAAACCAAAGTCTGCCTACTTATGATACAACTTAAGAAAAAGTCTGCCTACCTGTCCTCCACAATTTTAGCGAAACCAAAGTCTGTGATCTTCAGATGCCCGTCCCTGTCCAGCAGGAGGTTCTCGGGCTTAAGGTCTCGGTACACGATGGAGTTGGAGTGGAGGTAGTCCAGAGCCACCACGATCTCACTGGCGTAGAAGTTGCTAGAGGAGATGGAGAACTTGCCCATGCTCCGCAGGTAGGAGAACAGTTCACCCCCCGGGACGTACTCCATCAGCATGTAGAGGAAGGTCTCGTCCTTGTGGTGCCAGAGTCTGAAACAGTGAGAACCGCTGTTGGTGAGGTTGGACCATACTTGATGTCGGAACGAAACCACCTGTTAGATTTTAATGAGCGTTCCGTAGACGCCCCTCCTCCCTCCCGCCCCCTAACCACAGACACCGTGGAAATACCTGTTTATTTTATTAGTATTTGGGGGTTAAATCGAGATTGTCGGTACGGTAATAAGGCAGGATAAACCATTGTAGGTTCATCTTATACCATTGTTTGTAGGTTCATTTTAAAGGTATAAGATGAACCGACAAACAATGGTATAAGATGAACTTACAAACAAAGGTATGTTTGTAGGTTCATCTTATACAGTTTGGGTGGTTTATTTATAACTTGCTCTAATGAAGTTAAAGATATTATCGCCAAGCTCCAACGCTGAAAAAGCAGCGAAGGAGTTATAATTAGCTTAATAGATTAACGGTGATAATTAATTAATTGAGCATCCAATTCGAGAAGGCCGAATGTAATGTTTTGATTTGAAAACATTTTTTTATAATCGTGTTCTACAAATTAAAATGTAAAATGATTATTGATTTGTTTCTAAAAATAATTTGTGGCGTCATGTTTAATTTACATTTAAATCTTGAAAATTTGGGATAGAGTTTTTGAACGGCTAATAACCACGTGGTAGGATCACGTGATGCTGCCGCGTGACGCTACCACGTGATGTAAACATGTTAATGACTGGCAAAGGCTTAAATTTCCGAGATTTAATGAAAACGGATCTTGTTTTTTCCACATCTGTAAAACCATGTAAATAAAATGATTGCTGTTTAGGAGCAAGTGTTCGATCAATCACGGGTGAGTTAATTATAAAACAACTGGACAGGCTGTGGGAAGCTTACGATCTCAACTTTCACTATTAAAATAAACCATTTAAAAAAATAATTCCCACTGCTATTTCTTTTTCTAGTGCATGCGTATTTTAAAAAAATAATTGATTTGTGCTTTAGTTGTTCTTTTTGTGGACGCCTTAAATAAGATAAACAATTTTTAAAATTGATTTACTTTTTTTTTCCTTGGCGCCTCCGTAAAAAAAACAAAAAAAAAAACAACAAAAAAAACCCACCGTTAGTCAGTTTTTCATTTCCGTTTGAGAGCCCAGTTAAATAAACATGTCTGTTTATTTTGTTTTCATTTGACGCCAATCTCAAATTAATCATTTATTTTTCTCTAGAACGAAATCCTCAGCATTCGCCTTTTAAAAACTAGAACCTGTCAATTAATTTCTTCAAATGCTTGTTAAAAGGTCATCAGGAAAAGTGGGGGGGGGGGGGGGTCCGCCCTTGTGTCTGGGTGTGTGTGGATTGTGGGAACACAAACAGACACACACACACACACACACACACACAGACACCATGCGCTTATAACTCTTCAATCAACTAAATGAGATAGCTACTGGCAACTAGCATGGCTAATCAAAATCATTCCTTTTTTTTTAAAGTTATGAACATTGTTTGCACTAAAAACGCAATTCTTTATTATTAAAAATAGAATT